ATATCGAAGTTAAAGGACTGTAAATAAGCCCACCACCGATACACTCTAGGGGTCAATTGCAATTTTGTGCGTGAAGCCTTTAAAGAGTTACAATCAGTATATACTACAAACTCACGTCCCAGCAAATAGTGACGAAAACGCTTAACAGCTCCAGACCCAACCCAATGGTAGGTGACACCACCATAATATCATCCATGTAAACAATAACGTGTGACTGAGCTAAGTCACCAAGAGCATTCATGACGCTACGTTGAAAAACGGATGATGCATTTTTCAAACCAAACGTCATTTTCAAAAACTCTTATTTACGTTCTGGCGTTACAAACGCAGTGTATTCTACCGAATCAGGGTGCATTGGTATTTGATTATATCCGCTAGCCATGTCTAAACAAGTAAAATAATTAGCTCCACATAGCCTGGCAATCTGGTCATCGATGAGTGCAAGGGGTATTTGTCAGAAACCGTGATTGAGTTTGGCTTTTTATAATCGACACAAAGTCGGTCCGAATTGTTTTTCTTTTTAACCAGCAAAATAGGGCTAGCGTACGGAGAACAGCTGGGTCTAATGATGTTACATTTTATTAACTCACTTGTCTGAGACCGAACTGTTAGCTTTTCTTCAGGGCTGAGTCTATACGGTCTCCGCTGCACGGTTTTGTTTGAGCCTATTAATCGTAATTTAATTTCACCAGTACTAACAAAAGAGCAAGGCGTTCCGTCAATGAAAGCTGCAAAATATTGTTCAAGTAATTTAATCAACTTATCTTTGGTCACTATCAATCAGGTCAATATTAACATTAAATAGACTAATTGGCATTTCATAAGCTGCACAAACATTAACAGATTTGGGTTTCAAGATTTCAAATTTATCGAACGAAAGTAAAACAACACCTTGCTTAAGAATTTCTCGTCCAATTACAATATCATTCTGAAATTGTTTATCTTGTACGGAATGAAACAATATTTCAAGGGCATTTTCATTAATTACAACAGTGTTTATGATTTGCATTGTGTTTTAACCCTTTTACCCTTTAACATTACAATGTTATTGATGCGTTTCTCCGATAAATTTTTACCAATACTTTCTCTGATCATCGGGCATTCAGCCCCAGAGTCAAAACAAATTGGAAAGATCGTACTACCTAGTGTCATCTGCCAAGTGTCGCTGTGTCATACTTCCTTAAGGCTCTGTCACAAAGCACTGATTGATGCTCTCCTGCTGAAATGCTCCTGATTTGGTAAAGGTCGCCTCCTTGGAACTCACTATTGGGAGGCGTCAGGGCCCACTGCGTCAGGGTTAAATTTTGGCGGAGGGACGCCAGTCTTCTGTGTAGTCGATGCGTGCATATCTTTGGCCAGCTCCAGAACTACACGCAACTGCTCCACTTCTGATGTTGGATTAATATTTTCCTGGGTTGGATCTGCCATTTTAACAAGGGTTATACGTCAATAGAGAATTACTCTGCTTGACTCGTGGTGTGGGCAAACTCTCCAACGCAACTACTTTCTCGGTATTGCAAACCAGAGCTCCGAGACAATTATTACTCGTTACGCAATTTCTCTTTGTCTCTATATCTGCCTCCCTCACACTCACCACCGCAGAGGAACACGCTCGACTTGCGCTCCCTTTCTCTCGCTCCCTTTCTCTCGATCCTTTTATCCTGTCCGAGCGAATTTCTCAGAATACACTCGCTAATGAACACCTGGGGCGATATAGAAACAACTGCAACTCGGCCAAGGAGATGAAACATACGACAAAGAGCGAAGTACAAAGAAAACAGTGATAATACACTGAGAACAATCAAAAAGGGGATACGTAGGCAACCGACAGACAAAATTACACTGGTAATAGTATTATGATCCGACATATACTTTTTGGGGTCGGAAACGTTTCCTTATCTGCCTTGCACACATCCACCTTAACTAAAAATCTAATATACGATTTGTGGTAAAAATGGATGTGTGCAAGGCAACGTGCTAAGGCCAACACTGTACACTGGACAATACGTCCCAACCAATCGATTGGGATTGAGTACTAATATAAAAATGTATTTTTAACCATAAAAATGTGGAAACTTCTAAACATTACACTAAAAATTAAAAACAAATTTTTTAATTTTATTTATTAACAAAGAATCGCTTGAAAAAAAAAATTTGTTGTCAAATTTTGGCCAAGCCTATTGTATATATTTTCTTATATGTATATCGCTCAACATTCTGCCATAACATCAGCTGATCATTTGAGCGTTATATGCTCCAATATATGTTCCGAGAGCGCAACAGCTACACATATAAAATTGTATGGCACAAAATGCATAAATATAGTTAATGATAATGATCTTGTTGATCTTGAAAATGTTTTAGTCATTTTGATACTGAATAGAATAAGGATATACTGTCTAATCATTATAGTATAAATCAAAAATTATTTAAGTAAATTACAATACAAAACAAATTAATTTTGCTTAGCTATTTTCTAAGCTTTTTTTTTGGAATTCCGGGTTTTTACATTTTTCTTCCGTACAAACCTACTTCTGGCAAATCCGAACAACTGAAATAAATTTAAGCCAAATCGGTCCAGCCGTTTTAAATATTAATTTTTTCTCGATCGAAGGTTGGTTTAAAAAAAAAATTTTTTTTCATACAAACATTCTCCTGGCAAATATGAATGTTGTTCAAAACAATAAAAACATTTTCAGAAAACGAGCCACTAGGTGACCGGTTACTTGCGAAGATAAAACCCCTGATAAACCTCCCAGCTGTTCGTGATAATTGGTTGCTTAGTAAAGGACACATCGCTTCTGGGGACGTGACTCTTCTTATACCCGTACTCAGTCAGTATATTCATCTTTGAGCTTATAATTTTTTTGAATTTTAGAATTAAAAAAAAAAGTTTAAATTTTACATTTTTTTGCTACATCTGCTATCTACATCTACAATGTATATTCTACATCTAACATGTAGATTGTACACGTTCCATTTATATTCTACATCTCCTCCGCTAGGGGTTGCTCGCGCACTGAGCGCGGCAGAGTGTGCGAGCGAGAAAGAGAATCAGTAGCGTATTTCATGCTGGAGGAGGTGGGGAAGCATCTGAAAATACTACGATACTGCGTTTTTAGTTTTATCGTATCTTAAAAAATGTGCCTGCCCCAGATTTTCGTTCTTTGTGGAGGCGGAAGGGGGCGGGGCGAAATTTTGAAATACACTTGTAGCAGTGTGATATCACATGAGTCTGGAAACCAAATTTGGTTGCCCTAGCTCTTATAGTCTCTGAGATCTAGGCGCTCAACAAGACGGACAGACAGACTGACATGGCTATATTGACTCGGCTATTGATGCTGATCAAGAATATATATACTTTATGGGGTCGGAAACGTTTCCTTCTCTGCGTTACACACATCCACTTTTACCACAAATCTAATATACCCCTTAACTCTTTTTTGAGTAGGGGTATAAAAAAACATGATTCAAGCACCGAAATTGTGTTTTTTATAGTTAGGCCAGAAACTTAATTAGCAACCTACGTAGATGTGGGTGTACAATATTTCTCGTTTCTCCACTCTGCTCCACTCATATGAAGGCTGTCTGGTTTAACGACACGGAAACAGGCAACATACAATCTAGACCACACAATTGCAGAGATTGGCCTTGAGCTTTATTTATTGTCATTGAAAATGCCAATCGAATGGGAAATTGCAATCTTTTGAATTGAAATGGTGTATCAGTCAGGACAATGGGTGTTTGTAGGAGGGTAGATGTGGTCGGGTCGGCTGCGGTTCCCAAAACTATTATTCCCAATAAAAATCTTCAGTTGGTGATTTAAAGTATCGCTGGTATATTGTCTGATCGTTACAGATGTACGCGGAGCTTGGCTAGACGTCGAGAAAAGTGAGTATCGCACTCACACGCGTCCATGTGCAGCAACGTGTGGTTATTCCGGTCACCGATCACCGCTTCGGCAATCCTGGCTGGAGTGCAGTAGCTGAAGTGGAGGACAGCTTGGTGCCTCCTTTCGCAATCCAGGCGAAGAAAGCTGCGGCATTTCCGTAGAGGATGGATTTCAGAGCAGACTCGTCATTGGTAAGCCTTAGTACCTCGGGAACGTCTGCTCTCCACGGCACCACGGTGTGGTCGAAATGGCATCGAAGAGCAATGTCTGGAGGTGGAACGCTAGGGCGAAGTGACAAAGTCGAAGAAGCATTAGAAATGAGCTTGGAACGGATGACGGGCACATTTGGGACATTGGAAGCTGCTCTGGAAATTTGACATGAAAATGTTGCTCGCCGTATTGGACACGGGACCAGTGAGCACCCAACCAAAAATGGTTTCTTGGCCGAGGAGAGAACCACATATATTGGTTTGTAGGCCGCTTAACATTAGGGATGGAAGAATGTCGGCTAGAATCAGGACATCGATTGGTGTGTTCTCGAAAAACGTCGTATCCGCCAAGGGAAGGCTTGGCAAGTCTTTCAATAATCTTTGCCAGATCGAATGCAACGGAAGATTCTTTGCCAATTCCGGGAAAACATAGGCTGTGGCGTTAAATTATAAGCCCGGCCTCTTGGGGAGCGAATGGAAAACTGACAGAGCTTACTGTCTGATTGAGACTGAAGATCTGTGTCTGAATACGTTGAAATGGCAATTGAATCGTGTTGAAAAGGCGTTCCGTAATGAACGTTGCCTCGGAGCCCGAGTCGATCAGAGTGACATTTTTTCCCAGGTGGAAAATATTAATAATTGCCGTGCCTAGAAGGACAAAGCTTGTGCCGGAGGCGAAATACGTCTGAACGTTAGGATGAGGTTTGAAAGAACTTGAATTTTGTGCGGCAGATACTTGCCAGCTTGCCAAGCTGTGGAATTGGACTCGCTGGACACTGGACTGGAGAAGTGTGTGGTGCCGGCCCCCACAAGTGATGCATTTGCGGGTGCTTTGGCATTCGCTAAGTTTATGGCCTTTTGCGAAGCAGTTTAAACAAAGCTGAATTTGCTTAATGCAGCTGGAACGTGCAGGAAGTGATGAGATACTCCTATCAAGTGATTGTCTTTGGAACAGAGATCACATGTGCTCCTGCTTGGATTACCGTTGCTATGGAACGAGTGAGGCGTCCCTGGAACAGAATTGGTTTGGGAACGGAATGGATTGCACTGGCTTCTGGAGTGTTACGGATTCTGATTACCATTGGACGGTGGTGGGTTCAGATCGCCTTTGGAAATGGATGGGTCGCACTCCATGGCCTCTAGCGTCAAATAGCACTGAGTGAGGAATGCGTCGATTTCCGTCCATGGAGGCACCTCCTTCTTGTCTGTGACGGACGCTTCCCACAAAGACCGGGTCCACTTCGGCAAATTGGAGGAACAGATAGTACCGAGGAGGCTATCCCAGTTGTCGGTGCAGACATTGGAGTGAGCAAGGGCGGTGAGAACCCCTTGCATCGTGCTTTGCAGCTCTTTCAATGCCCGACTGGTTTCGGACTCGACGCGAAGCAATAAGAGCAAAATATTTATCTGGTTGGTCACCAGGAGCCGATTATTTTCATAACGGTTTCGGAGGGCCGACCATGCCGATTCGAAACCATCGTTGGTGAGCGGGGACTTCTCGACTATGGACTTAGGATCGCCACTTGTCTTACCGGGGGTATGACTTCTCTACCGGAGACAGCCTAAAATTATTTATGTAGATTAAAATTATTAAATAAGTCGCTGAAAGTAGGCCAGCGGACGTAATCTCCTGCGAAGACTTCAATGTCGCACTCGACAGCCGCTCTGGGAGGTTGGCTGTGCAGAAGGAAGGACGGTTGTTTGTACCAGCTGAGCATTGAGGTTCACTAGGCATTGCTCAACTACACCGTAGCACTCGTCGTACTTCTCCCGGATGTCTTCTTGTACTTCTGGATCCTCGTCAACCATCGCTGCGGAGCAAGCCCTATACTCCGCCTCGACCTCCGCGCACATGCTCAGGATTTGGCCTCGGCGAACCTCGGAAAGAGAGGCGGATGGAGCGGCGGTAATGCTCGCTTCGAGGTGAGACAGACCGCCAATGGTGGCGAGTAGTCTTGCCCGTGCAGTAGTGGTGGCGGATTGAGCCATTGTGATGGCTCTAAAGCTGACGGTACTGGTAACGCGAGCGCTGGTTGGATCGTCTTGGATCCGAACTGGTACCTGGAGGGTGACGGGAGATGGGAAGAAAACCTGGTCTTGGAGTGGGTGACGACTTGATGTTTTCAGTCTGCGTAGATCTGGAGGCAGAAGAGATGCGTAGCCGACTTGGAAAAGACTTTTTGCTGTCCTTTTGGTGTGTGTCTCCGCTAAGGCTTAGTGTCAGAGAGAACCGGTAGAGGGAGCCAGAGCATGGAGGTGGACACGGAGGCCGACGCCAGCGATGCTAGCCTGGCTTGTGTTGGGGCGAGCACGTTGTCGAGAGTCCTCGCCCGTAGGTAGCGTCGACAAAAGTCAAATGCGGCAAAAAAGGGAGCTAAGAAGATTGGGCTGGGGATTGGGGCGACGGGAAAGTTGCCAATCCCAGCAATCAGGTCGCCGCCGCCGTCGCTCCCCTTTCGTGCAAATGAAGCCGCGGCAGAACCCTCTGCCACTGTCGCTGCCACTGCCACCGCCAACAACGCCGCCGCTACCACTGCTGCCACTACCACTGTCGCCGCCACCACCGCTGCCAGCACCGAGCGCTGTCGCCCCACCGATCGCGAAGCCGCGCGAAACCTGGTCGGCTCTTATTAAGAGCACGAAGCCGGAGGCGACTGGGAAGCAACTAGTGGAGCGAGTGAGGAAGGACGTTGTGCCCAAACTCGGAGTCCGGAGGAGCGATCATTCGCACGCCTTCGGTCAGTGAACTCAAAAAGGTATTGGACAGCGCGAAGGACTGGAAGTGAGGAAGAGCCCGGAGACCAGGCCTCAGGTCGTGGTGTATGACGTCGACAGGTCCATCACGCCTAAAGAGTTCATGGAGGAGCTCTTCACCAAGAACCTAGAGGATTCCATGTCCGCTGCGGAGTTTAAAAAGACGGTTCACCTGGGCAGCAAACCCTGGTCGGTCACCGACGGCGCCGCAGTCAACGTGACGCTGGAGGTCGATGCGAAAGCACAAGAGGTGCTACGCGATTGCGTATACATCAAGTAATTCCGGTGCCGCTGTCGTTCCCTGGTCAGGACCTACGCCTGCCACAGGTGTGAGGGTTTCGACCACAAGGTGTCCCAGTGCTGCCTAAAGAAGAACGTGGGCCACCAGTGCGGACAGGGTGGCCACAACGTTTCGAAGTACCCCAACCCGGTGAACTGCCGAAACTGCCGCTTCAAGGGTTTCCCGGCAGCACATTCCATGCAGTCTGTGGAATGCCCAATCTACGCAGCGGTATTGGCGGTGCAAGCTTGACATTAAATGTTTAGCTTCATCCAAGCTAATTAGCCGTGGCCGAGCGGCTGTGGTGGATCTCGGATCCATCATGCGCAACTCTGGCCATCTCTCGCACTGGTCCAGGAGCCGTACGTCGATAGAGCAGGGCGGATTACTGGCCTTCCTTCGGGAATGCGAGTATTCCAGGACGGAAACGTGACGTGACGGAAACGAGACGTGACGGAAACGTGACGAAAACCCGAAAGCTGCCATCATCGTCGATGAACCGGAAGTCATCTGCACGCCAATAGACCCCCTTACCACCGAACATGGAGTATGCGTCAGAGTGCAAGGAAGATTTGGCTCAATCATCCTATGCTCCGTATATTGCCAATTCAACACCGACTTGGCGCCGTACCTTAAGTACCTAGATGCTGTGCTGCTGCTGGCCAGCCGCACTCCCGTCATCTTTGGGCTCGACGCGAACGCAGTATCCCCAGCGTGGTTTAGCAAACTCCCCGAGCATGCTAGGGGGTAAGCTAACTATGCACGGGGTGAGCTGCTGTCTGAGTGGATTACCGACAACCGAGCCAGCGTGCTCAACGAGGTCAGTCGGGTGTTTACATTCGATAACCGCAGAGCCCACAGCGACATCGATGTAACAATCGCCAATTAAGCTGCGACTATGTGGGCCACATACGCTTGGGAAGTGAGGGAATGGGATACGAGCGACCACAACATGTTGAGAGACACAGTTGAGAGCATTGCTTCTGTGCCGTCCTGGAAGCTTTCAAATGCGGGCTGGCGATTGTTCGAGGAAGAGGTGTTAAGGCAGACATCCGAATTGCCAGAGGACATCGCCGAATCGCCGTTGGACAACCGAGTGGCTGCACTGCGCTCTGTAGTGCACAGTATGTGCTTACATTGACATCACGTCCGAAGCTCCACCGGCCCACGAGGTTACCGAGGTTGATGCTTGCGTCGCCAGGTTGAAGAGAAGACGCTCTCCCGGCATGGACGGCATCACAGGTGCCATTTGCAAGGCATTGTGGCGTACCATCCCTCAGCATAGGACAGCGTTGTATTCCCGCTGCCTGGAGGCCGGATACTTCCCCACGGAATGGAAGCACCCTAGGGTGGTTCCACTCTTGAAGGGACCCGATAAGGACATGACGAATCCAGCTTCATATCGGGGTATCTGTCTGTTGCCACTGCTGGGCAAAGTGCTTGAGGGAATCACGGTGAATCGTCTGAAGGACACCATACCGGATGGCTGCAGATGGCAATTTGGATTTCGCCAAGGACGCTGTGTGGAGTATGCTTGGAAACACGTCGTGAGCACTTTTTCAGCCAGCCGGTCGAAATATGGGCTCGGAGTCTTCGTGTATTTCAAGGGAGCCTTCGACAACATCGAGTAGGATGCTGCACTACGTCGGCTCCTAGAGCTGGGCTGCCGTAAAGCAGGCTTGTGGCGAAGCTTCTTCTCCGGCCGGAGTACGAGCATCGTCAGCAGGCATGGAGTAGCCACTGTTTCGGTGACAAGAGGTTGCTCACAGGGGTCCATAAGTGGTACATTCATATGGAACATCTTGATGGACGTGTTGCTCCAGCGCTTGGAGCCACTTGGAGCGTTAAGCGCGTATGCCGACGACCTGCTCCTCCTCATCGAGGGAAACGCCCGTTTAGAGCTCGAGCGAAAAGGAGAGGAACTAATGTCCATCATAGGCGTTAAGGGAGTTGATGTCGGCGTTGCCGTTTCATCTAGCAACACGGCGGTCTTGCTGCTCAAGGGCATACTTAGACGGCCGCCATTGGTACGGTTTGCTGAAGCAAGCCTGCCATAAAGCGCGAGTATCGGTACCTTCGCATCACAGTCGGTGAGCGGTTGAGTTTTCTCCCGCACATCACGGGCTTGCGTGATAGGCTGACTACAGTCGTAGGGGCATTGTCTCGCGTACTGCGAGTCGACTGGGCAAAACGGACAATATACGCCGGACTCATGGTGCCTTATTTGGGGCCTTGGTTTGGTCTGTCGCGACGACGACGCAAGTGGTTGCCAGGGGGAAACTTCTTGCGTGCCAAAGGACTATCCTGATTGGATGCCTACCGGTATGCCGAACAGTGTCCACGGTGGCACTGCAAGTACTTGCTGGAGCCCCCCGTTTGATCTGGTAGCCAGACGCCTGGCAATTAGATTCAAACTCAAGCGTGACTACCCGCTGGAGGACAGCGATTAGCAATACGGCGAAGATTTGGCAAATCTTAGCTGGAAGCAGAAGATGGCGCGACTATGTGTTTGTCCGCTCTATGCAGATTTTCGAGACCTCGATGGACTTGGAGTGCAGCACACGGATGGCGAATGGATAGTCCCCGAAGTGGTGGCTTCGCAGGAGAAGATGCAGTTGCTGGATAGATACGCTGGCGAGGCGTTCTGCAGACAGCAACAACTGATTGACCCAATGGCGACAGACGGGCCGAGAGCTGCGGACTTGGAGAGTCCCCCTCAAGGGTACCCTATCCGAGCCAGTCGGGCCTAAAAGGGGAGGGTCCACTGAGCCCTAAAGATCGGTACCACGGGTTGTTCAGCGTTCCAAGGCTGTTCATTGAGGTAGGCCCCCTAGTGGGAGCATCGTGGTGGCTGTGGTAGCCTGAATTTTACGCGGGAAGAGCCGCTAGGCTCCACGTGGAGTTGCGATCTCAACCGGGTGCCGAGACCCTTAGATCACTCCTCACCAAGGGGGAAAGTATGCCCGACTAGTATACTTTCGAATTGGTACCAGGATGGGTCGCTATGGATTTGCTATAGCTTCTTATTCTGGGGCGTAAATTGGCGCATGGTACCAGATTTACCGTGACATGTGCATTGCACGAAGCACATTAAACAACGTGGTTGAAA